TTCTGAGTTAGGATAGACCTGAAAGGTACAGAATTTTATGGCATTATTTTGACTATGAAAAGCAGTAGAGTAGCTCCAGAGTGTTTCAGCAGCATTTAGACAGGCTGTGTATTCACTTAAACTTCAACTCAGCTTTCTGTCCTGTGTGTGCAGTGAGGATGGTATTTGTTCTCTACCTCATAGAAGTCTTGAGGCAGATAGCACATGTTTTTTAAACACATTGAAGTTCGAACTATATTCTTCATTTTTTTCAAGTTTGGAGTGCAAACTGGTCATTTTGGTATCTATGAGCAGGTTCTACACCAGCTCTTCTGGTATGTAGGCAGATTTTCAAAATAGATAACCTGTGACAGAATGCTAGCAGTAATATAATTAAAGATACCTATGCAAAACATGGACAACAACAACTGAAAATATGCACAGACATATATCAATATGAGTTTTTATTGTTTATCTGCAGTTTGCCATATAGTGGTGATGGTGATAGAGGCATGGTTCTTTTTTAAAACAGGAAGTGGTACTTAGCTGTACTTCTTCCGTTTTTGATGGACTGAGAAATTTTTTGGAGACCTCATGATACAGAAGTGAATTGTGTGTTTGAGCAGGCAACTGCTAGAAATGGGATTTTGTTTAGTTTCATAGAATCATTGTCAAAATGTTAGAGCAAAATAATTAAACAATTAGTTACCTCATTCTAGGATATGTTTGAAAAAATATGCTTGGAGATAGCATGAATTATTTTGCTAAATATAAATAATAATATGCGGTTACTCTATGGAGGAACATATGTACATGGGGAGGCCCACGTGTGTTCTCTAAAGCAGAAATTACGTAATCAAGTTACACAGAAGAGAGAGAGAGGAAAGATTGTGGCCCTGTCCTTCAACCTTTTGGAACATTTCAATTATTACAGTTTGAATACACAAATCCCCAGGATCAGATCCTTAATGTACTATTTTGACACAATCAGATCACTTAAGTATTTTTTAAAGTCCATTAATAAATAAACTTTTCATGATTTCTGCGTACATAATTTCTTGCTTCAGTAGCATGAGGTCTACACAACAGTCTCATTAATACTTGCATCTGGGATTGTATCCTGCTTCTGCTGAAGCCAATGGCAAAATTGCTGTGGGAGCAAGACTGGGTCTGTAATTAAGTTAATAGGGTCGAGTGTTATTACATTGTTGAATTGGCTCTTGATGCCATTAACATCAACCAACCAAAAAAAAATCTTTAACAATGACTCATGTAAGGCAGTATTAAATGTTGTTTTTATAACACTTTATGAGGGAGTGATAAAGCAATTGAAAAATTAATCATAAGGGAAAAGATTGGAATTTGAAATACAGTCAGAGGAATCATTACAGTTCATAAATTTATGTGTAAATACTGATGTTTTCCAGTGGAATTATAAAATGCAAGTGAAGTGAAATGGCTGGTTTCACTGAAGGCATTTTGCCATTATCATCGGATGGAATTTAATTTGTTTACAGACTCAGCATTGGGCTGATCCACATGAAGAAGTATTAATAAACAAGGTCTTTGACTTCTGTTAGTAAAGCAGCAATTCCAGTTACCATGATAAAAGTGCTCAAGGAAGATGTGGAAAGAGCTGAAGATTTGTTGTTGTTTTGTTAGTTGACTAAAATAATGGCATTAGAACTAACTACATAAATAGCAAACCAGTAAGACTATGTCAGTGGGTTACATGTCTGTCTTGACAGCTTTACTGATGAACTCTGACAGAGAGCAAAATTGAATACTGCACACAAAAACATGGTTGTTTTGATACACACTTAATATTTGCTGTAGACTTGCATGCCACTTAGGTTCTGTCTGTTTGTGCCAGGAACAATATGTACAGGAGGGAGACTGGCCAAAACAGGAGTTATCTGTGCTACAGTGAGCAGATTGTACACTGGAATGGCGCAAACTGCAGAAGCCCCGTGGAACGAGGAACATGAATTCTGCAGGTTGTTGGATTGTTAAGTGCAGCTCTGTGCCAGTGTTAGGCTGCAGATTGTGTTTAAACATGCAATTGAATTTTTATTGATGCATAGATGGTCATACTGATGAACTATGTCATTAGTCTACAGTCACTTAGGGGGTGAAAAAAAACCACAGCAACTTCTTGCTGCTGCTGCTTCTTTATTTATTTATTTATTTATTTAATCATTATTAGTACTCTTCATAGATAACAGTGTTGGACAAACACCAAAGTGGGATCACTTCGAGGTGGAGACCATGCAGATAGGCTCATAGTACTTACCCTGAAACAGTCTTGTTCAAGACTAAACATGTTGCTTCTGTATCATGTGGAAATGGAAGACTGGAATATATGAGGAGAAAGAAGTACTAAGTCTGTGTAGATATAGTTTCATTCTAAAATATGTAAAAATGCTACTTTTGAAGTGCTTCCTTGCTATTGCTGCTGTTTTAAGTAAGTGTAGATGTTCCAGGTTATATGGCAGATAAAATATTATAGAAAATAATGATGTAGGCATATTAGTATCCCTTTTCTAAAATAATAAATATTTTTATTTGGGTTTGAATTTAACTCTCTAGTACTGTTAAATTCAGTAAGATCTCTTTGTTGGTAAGGCCCTGAAATTTCATAAAAGTTGTTTTGAACCCTTTTGACTTCAGATGCTCAGATGTATACTAAGAGACAAGTGATGATTTCATAGATATTCGGTACGTATTACACTCCTTCCTGCTGTGTACCATAGAAGGTGTATGCTTTTCCTCAGAAACACAGGAATTGTTAATGATACAAGTGAATACAGTGATTGTGGTATATCAAGACAATTATGGATCAATAGCTCTGTGTTCCCAATGCTACAGAATAATGAAATAAAAATCACATTATTTTTCTTCTTTTTATGTAAAATCATGTTACAGAGACTGACTGTTCCACAAGTGTCACAAAAATTCATGTGGCCGTGTCTTTTTATTTTTAAATTCTGTGCATTCAACAATTTTTTTTTAAGTATTGAGTTGCGCTAGGTTTGAAATGTATGCATATTAATTAATCTATTGATTACATGTAGCAGTGAAACAGCTATACAGCTTCTTCAGCACATCAAATTATACTGCATGTTTGGACAAACTGATATTACTTTGTTGTGGGTGCCTGTTTGTGTTTTTAAACCCGATTCAGCTCCTATTTAACTTGACAGAAAACTCCCTTTGACTCCAGTTTGACTTTTGTATCAAGATCTAAGTATGTATATTAGTGATACATTTTTCCTTTACAAACATGGGAGTTTGTGGTGCTCCTTGTGCACTAAAATGTTAGATACTGTCTTAGGTGTGGCTGGCTTCTAACTCTATTTTCAATTAAGGCTGTATTATCAAAGACAAATAAGTTACATGTCAGTAATTAAGCATGGATTTTAGGTAATTCTACTTCGCTGTTCTATTAAATGTGTTAATTTTTCATGACAGAAGAGTTGGCATGATTTGATGGAATAGAACCCAGCTTGAAACCTGAGTCTTTATGACCCTGCTTAATTGTTATTACATCACTCACTCCTCTTTGCCATCTGGATAAGACAAGGGAAACTGGCAGAATACAATTAATTAATTCTTTTATAACTCTCCCAACTGATAATGTTAAAATTAGTTTCATTAATCGTGATAAAAACATTCCCAGTAAATAGTGAGAATAATCTGAAATGGCTGATTTATTTTTTTTTGTTATTCAGGCAAAAATCATTGCTGACTCAATAGTCCTATGAAAGCACTTGGCACACTACATTTATTTTAGCAGGAACGTGACTGACTGTGGAAAATGAGATATTGAGAAGCTATATCTCATATCAAGACCAAATTATCTTATGAGAATAGAGTATTTTTACATTAATAGGGACTAAATAAAACAAAGGCCAATTCAAATGCCAAGTTCGAATTTAATTATTAAAATATCTGAAACTAAAGGTTAAGCTAATTTGCCTTTGTTAATAGTAGGACTTTTAGATATAAACTTCCAAATCAGTGTGTACACTGATTTCTAAAGTTGCACATGCCTCAAAGGTATTAAACCTTACTTTGATGTAATAAGAATATATTTCAAATGCAAATTATTGTTATTTCTCTAATGTATTTTACAGTAGTGATTTTTAAGATTTTCTTTGTAAGAGACAAGGTAAAAAATTACGTATTTCTTTTTTTCTTGTCAGTATTTTTTATTTTTTTAGGTATTTGCCCAAATTATGTGTATGCATTTACTAGTCTGAATTGATACGATTGATCAAAAAGGCATTTTAAAATTCCAAGTGTGTGTGTGTGTAAACATTTGTATATACACAGACGCACACGCGCACACACACAGACACACACACACTCATATATATATGTATATATATATGTGTGTGTGTATATATATATTTAAAACAAATAATTTATAGGATGCAAACCCAGTAATTAAATCTTTAATAGGTTTACTGGATAGTGGTGTTATTTTAAGACAATAGAAAGCACTCCAACTTCTCTAAATCAGCTTATGTTATTTTGAATCCTTGAAGGACCCAAATACATAGCATTTCTAAGTTTTCAGAACTGATAGTTTTAATGTGGAAGAACAAGATACTTTCCAGTGCTGCTT